ATAATAATAATAATAATAATAATAATAATTACAGCATGTTTCACATTTTTAAGACAATTTCGATGTAACTACCAATCTGTAAATAACGCTCAGTTCCAAGGAAGCTTTTTTTTATTTTAYTTTTTCCAAAAACATTTCACAGATGGATGTACCATTGTGAACAAAAATCTAAACATGAAGCTGTGTATGGTACCCTTATTGTTGATTTACGGTACAAGGTTAGCTCAGTCATGTCAAGTATGGCTGCTGCTTCCCACAATCAACATCTTGACGGGATCATCCAGCCCGTGTTAAACTGAAAGCTCGCTTTTGTAGTGTCAACCCTTCAGAAACTTCTCAGTTCATCTGGCTGTGTTAGGGATGGAGGGGTTGTGTGTGTTAAAAAAGGAGGTGGTGGTGGTGGTGGTGGGGGGGTCTCTCCCTTCATGAATCAGAGCTCCACGCMGCACTATGAAGAAGGAACCTCAGTGAATAGGCGCCACTCAAGAGGAATAAAGAAACCTCTCCACTGGTTTGTTTTGGAGGCTGTCTTATTGATCTGTCTACCTATGAATGAATGCTTCGGCCCAGTTTTCCCGCTCACACGGACAATGGCACTTGGCCTGAATTAACTGGCCTGATGTTATTCCCAGGAGCAAGAGTGCATTGAGAGGAATTTGKGGACTGTYTGTCATTTCATTCCTTCATSTCTTAGCCCTTCCCACAGTAAGACAGTAARTGAAGAGAAGCAGATCGATGACCAGTGATTGCCTGAATCAAGGCTAGTTAGAACGAGGGCATGGAGCATTTCATAGATGCGTAGACCATAATACTTATTTAATTTTCCAAACTAACTGTTTTTATTTGTGTTTGAGACCTTGAAGATCTAAAAGGCAGCTATTGGAAAAGCTCTACAGTGTAACACTACCATAAACATAGAAATAAGATCTATGTGTTCGAGGTAAGGCCTTAAGTAGACATCTAAAAGGACATTTTTTAAATCACTGGGTACAAGACGTGCATTTCACAGCAGCGCTGTATTTATTCTTCCAGTACATGCTGACATGAATTCCAGGACAAAAACTTACCACAAAACAATTATTCTTGTAGTGAAACCATATACAACTACATTTTTTTACATTTCTATTTTTGTGGAGAGTTTTATAGAAAATTCATAATGAAGTTTCATTTTACCTGCAGCAGACAGTGGTCCGAATGGTCTCTCATGGGGGCATCAGGCTATTAGCTGTTCAAAGCAGGATCCCTTCAAGAATTAACACGTGCTTTTTTAAAACCACTCAAACATTTCATGAATTTATCCTAAAACTTTTACACATCATGTTTGCATTTGTTATTTACATAGAGAAGTTTTAAGTGTGCCTTGGCAAGAAGGATGGATTTGTCATCAGTGCCACTGAGTTTTTTTTATGCTTAGTGATTTTCACTGATGATTGTGTATTTCACTCAACTTTTTCCAGTACAAAAAAGGCAGAAGCAGTTCGACTGCCACATACTGCTTTTGTTGAAATTGTGTAGGACTTACTCATAAACACCAGAAGTATATATAATTATAAAAAAAAATGTCAAATGAAAATATATTTGTAGGCAATAGGTGACATTGACAAGATCTAACAGTTTTTATGAGCCACTGATGTCTCAGCACCTAATGGTTTACAAATTCAGCTTTGGCACCTCTTCAGTAAATCTATACGAATTAGCGCTCAAGTTTGTAACAAACTTTTGTGTACAAATGCACAAGAACTTGTAAAGCAATTTGATTGTTTGCATTCATTTCTCAGACTTTTCCATACATTTCATGCACTACTACAGTTCTACATTGTGGTCTTTTGCTTACCATTGGGAAACTGAGGAAACACAGTGTGTGCCCATGACGTCACACTGCAATGACTCTACAGTTTTTCACCAGAGTGGAACACTTTCTGCTGTATGTTGCAAGAAAACACAAACTGAAAATGAATCATCTTAAGTGTAGCCAGTCAGTAGCAAAATTTAATGCTAAAGTAATGTTGTGTAAGAACACAATACAAAACTTGTTTGATCAACTATAGCATTTTGGAGCCTTCAGTTGTTCAAAATGACTGTAATCTTTTCTTACATTAGCCATCTTCTCAGAAGCCTTTAGCTTGACAATTATTATTTTTTTACAATTCTTTAAACTTAAATCATTTGAAGGTAAAATATTAACTATTTATAAACACTCCACAGAAATCCACTTCAAACTATTTTGCATTGGTGTAAAAGCACCAGCTATGTTCAAACATCATTGTCGGACTTTTGTGTGTATAATTTGTCACAAGAGGGATTACACAACTGCAAGAACAAATAGATTATTCCATAATATTCTGTACATTTTGATCTGTATGATGTTTGTGAATATTATGAATAGTTAATATGTTATATTTAACATCCACACTTGATCTATTGTTTGATTATCCTGCTACAAATGTTAAGGTGTAAAGCCTAAAGTGTTTATCCTTAGGAAAACAGCAACAAAAGCTATTTTTAAAAAGATAAAAACAACATTTTAAAGGTCACGGCTTTGGATTTTTCAAAATAAAAGCACGTTAAACTGTCTTGTGACTGAATCTATCTTCTCACAGGAAACGGCCAGGAAAACAAACAAAACTGACAAAGAACATAATTTATTTAAGACATAAATCTAAAACAGAAATAAATACAAGAAAGAACAATGTTATTTTAATTTACTTTGTGAACCCAACAATGAGTGATAAACACTTTCAGTGGTAAACTGTAAAAAAAAAGTAAGTAAGTCTGTTAACAGGCCAATAAATTATTAAAAGAAGTTCCAAACTATTAAAAGTATCCAAAATGTACCAATAATGAAAATAATAATCTCCAACTGATTTGTCAAACACATTTTAAAAAAGTGATTTTAGCCATCATGCACTCCAACAACAAAATAAACTGTCAGCTAATAAAATTAGAAATGTTTACAGGCCTCAACACAATAAATACAAAAAAAAAACAAAAACAGATAAATCAATGCATGAAAATAGTCATTAGGACAAATTAGATTGTGTTTAAAAAAGAACAAAAACAAATTAAATACAGTCATTAAGTGCAGGGATGAGGGGTGTTAAATCAATGCAAACAAATAAATCACTTTTCAATTCATAAAGAAAATATTCTAAAAGTTAGGCAGGATTGATACATTCACCATGTGCATATTCTCCATTGTTTCAAACAGATACAAACTAAAGCTAAGACTTTCAAAACTGGGAGTATAGAAATGGTGATATGGTGCTGCTGGACTTTTTGTGTTGTGTACAAACTCACAAATGGAATTTACAAATTCCAGCTGGATTACACAACAGGTAAAACAGCAGCTTGTTAGACCAGAAACGCAGACATTGTGTAATCTGTAATTAATCTGGCATCATGTACTTTTAAAATCCTAATGACACTGAACAGTCATGCTGACCAGAGGGTCATCAACACAATCACAATTTGTGCGTATATTTCTCCGTCAATGACAGGATTGAAAAACTCAGCAGATAATGTCCTTGTGTGAACCAGAACTGCTGATTCCCTCTTGGTTCTACAGAAAACTGAAGGCTGCAGAAATGAACCAAAATCATCCGAGAGCAGGGTTAAGAGATTCACTTGGCACTATTTTAAAATTCACTTTCTATAAATGCACTATTTGATCTTCTCAAAAATAATAATAAAACCTCTGCAGAACATAAAGGTGGTATTCTAACAGCAGCCGACGTCTTTTGATCACAATGCCCTTTCAGATTACATCTGACGTACAGCAGAGATCACATGCCTGCAGACAGACACACAAACACCAGCGCAAACCCTGACTGAGCCTGACTCACTGTCCTCCCTTTGAGTCAAAGTTGCTGCTCAACAACAACTTAGAATTCTTACAATAAAATGGCTCAGTTTAAACCATAAAACATGAAACAACAAATACATCTTCTATTGTAAAATCCACGTTTGTCCTCTATGGCAAGCTCAGTTAAACTCAAACTTCAAGTCAAGTTAGAAATCATCTCTTCTTGCTCTTTGCAAATACAGCTCTCATTCCTCCCCACTTCTTAAACCTTCATTTAAGATCACAGTGCCTTCCCAGCCAGCCATCCTGAGAATTATCTGTAGACTGACACACTGTCCTCCCAGAAACAGACTCCCTGGTCCTCAACACAACAGGTTAAGATATTTGAGAGAAAACAGGCCAAAAACTGTAAAATCTTTAGTAAGAAACAAATGCAAGAATTCACCAAGTTGGGCAGACAGCCGTATTGAACACAAAACAAATACCCACTGAGGTGTGAGGTCAGACTACAATGATGAAAATATTGCAACCAAAATTAACTTCAACAACATATTGATAAAAATATACTTTGTTACAGCCTGGAATACAGTCTGTGCTCAATTTCAAGACCTTTGACTGCATGTGGCCAGACTTGAAGAAGTTTGTGGTGAGTGTCGTTTCTAAAAGCTGCATTCCCTCCCACTGGAAACTGACATTTAAAATGTTCTACATCTGTATGAAGCTGCACTTTTTTTTAAGTTGAAGGTATTACAAATCAGAAACTATTAATATTAATGGATTAGACAGACGGTTGTTACTTCTTTGTGAACCAACAACATTATTTGAGCTTTCCTGTTGGCTTAAAAGAAAAAAAAATGCAGACCTAAGAGAACTGATAGACAACATTTTAACAATTAATTGTGACAAGCATCTTTGAGTGCTTTACCATATAAAATTTGTACAGAATCTTGGAGCAGGTTCAATTGCATCAGGAAGGACACCCGACATAAAATGACACTTCCCAGTGCAATTTTGCTGGCTGAGGCGACCTCTGAAAAAACAGACGCTCTATGTTGTTTTGCTAATTCAGTAATGACACGTCTTTATGGTTGTCTTGTGGCTTAAAACATTTGCAGCACAAATAAGAAAACCCAAGGTTGTAAATGTAAAACCATCAACCAGAGTTCACAGTCATCTGAGGAGGAAGCGCTGGAACGAAAAACAAGAGTTCTGATGATATGATCTGATCAGTCTGAGGTGGTCACAGATTAGGGGAAGGGGAAGCTTTGGAATAGAGTCACTGGTAGGCCTATGTTGCCCCCCATTATGTTCTTTTTGACCACAATCAATACACAGTAGAACTGTGGGGGTGGGGTGAATGCCACTCTTGGATTGTTGATGCTATGCTGCCATAAGATACTGATGATAGAAGAGGCCAAAAAGTGAGGTGGAAAAAAGACAGGCAGCAATCCACCAAGTGAAGAAGGAGAAAAGGCCCCGGAAAAGTAAGGGGCTAAAAACTGTCCGCAGGCCACCAAGAGCCATTGAAAGTTGAACTACTGATGCCTGAGCTCCTGTTTCAACCACTGAAGCTGGTTGTGAGGATGCAACTGGTTCTGCCCCCACTACAGAATCAGAGTTCATTTCTTGGATGCACGGCAGGTCTTCTTGGGGATTGACCCACCAGGAGTGACCACCTGGTATAAGAGAAGCAAAGGTCAGAAATGACTTGGCATTATCAAACAAAAATATATATATTCTAAACAGAAAACAATAAACACTGATTAGTGACTCACCTAAGGTTTTTAGCAGCAAAGTTGTATGTAGCAACATCACCAGGGGTGCCACATACTGTAGTGCGATTACACACAAGTAGTAAAAAACACGAGCAACCTGGACAAAAGAAGCATGTCACTAAAAATATCTTCTACTCTAAATGTTAAAATATGCTGGAGAGTCCTGAAAATATAAAGTAACATGGATTTTGGGTCAGTGTTAGTTTGAATAACGTTTTATTTTAAAAGGAAAAAAAGGCATTTATAATAACTGTTCTAAAACTAAATCTGACAGCACACTAAGTACTTAAGCACAAACTAAATGCTCAGCAGAAATTCATTTTATTACACTTGAAAAAGAAAGACACACTCTATACTAAACATTTATGAACTTGGAGTGTGATAAATATAAATTGATATGAAGAAAATACTAAAGTTGACAGTTTAAACTTTTAATATTTTCACTATGCAGTAGGTTCAATCTGTGGTTAAAAGCCCATACTTAAACAGTTGTAACAATCTTGGTTCATGCTTCTAATTGAGGATTTTGGTGCCCTCATAAAGAGGATGGGGACTCCAGGTTGAAAATCACTGTACTAAACAGTATAGAAAAGTACAAAGAAACTTTGATATAGTAAAAAATTATATAATCACCATCTTCTGCAGGTCAACAGTACTTATCCGTCCCGCTTCCTTCTTCATCTGGACTACACCTTTCTGTGCCAGGTTGAGGTAGGCCTGCAGGTGATGTCTCATCATGGCGAGCCGGAGCATACACATCAGTATAATAACCCATAACCGCAACGTATCGTACGTCTGTTCAGTCATCCTGGCGATAATGGAAATGCGGGAATAAGAGAGGAGAAATGAAAAAGGATGACAGTTTTTTTCTGGTCCACAAACTCAGCACCCCACGTAAGTATCATCTGGATGGTAAGCAGAGACAGAAAGGAAAGATGACGAAAGCAGAAGAGCCACAAACAGCTCAGAGGAGAAGGCAGGAGAGGGTGAAATTGAGGCATAAAAAGGTGAAAAGGGGGTATTGTAACATGAAATTAAACTTAATCAGGTTTGACCTTGATGATATAAGTCAGTGTCAATGGCAAAAGAAAGTTCAATATGTGGCAGACTTTAAACAACAAATGAAAAATGCCATATTAGAACCAAGAATAATATAGATGATAGAGAAAAGACAATTCATTCAAGTATGTCACTATTTATGAGCAGGATGTTTATCTGTTTGCACCAATGTAAATTAAATTCTTGTACGTATGTTACCTGTTTGTTTACATTTCTATAATGATGCTGACATATCAACACTTAACTGCTAACCTCACAGGGTGATAAAGTCAGGCTTCCTGCTGCAGTCAGTCCATGTTTCCATCACCCACATAACTGTGGGAAACAAAATATGCCCATACACCTAATATTGRTTGGGCTGAATAAAAACTTGCAGGAAAGATTTGGCAATAGTTTATTCCAGATGCCCTTCCTTTTTTTTGCCCTTCCTGACAATCTAGGCTTGAACCTGTGGCCTCACGAATATGAGATTGCAGCACTGATCACCCATCTACCACTGTCTCTAAAAAAAAAAAACTAGCTACATTCATCTTTATGTTGTTAGTTGTTTTTACTTGCAATTCTACAGAATTCAATTTTGTTAATGAAGCTCAGTTTGTAAGTTAGACAATTACAATTCCAACAGTACACAGAGTTATTCTTAAGAGTAAAAAAAATAAAAAAAATAAAAAAGGTACACTGAATGACATTAAGCAGTATGAACAGGAAATTTTTTACTTACAAAGGCACACTTTCTTTTCTCAGAGTGGGATTCATTATGTAGTCCTTGGTAATAGGTTTCACCCAGAGCAGGACCATGATGAGAGGGGACAGGAAGTTGATATGAAGCAGAATCCTAAGAAAAAAATAAGGTGAAAAATTTTAAATAAAATAAAAAGGCAAGCAATCACTGCTTTGATACTTCTTTGGAGGTGTCACGATTTATTATGCCTGACTATAATCATTAACATTTTATTTCATTTTGAAGATAACATTTAGTTATTTAATCAGTGCAACCGTCCCCATGACAGCTGAGAATACAACCAAGTTGCACATTTGGAAGGGCATGAAAATAATCCCACTAAGTGACAGGGTCTGAAGGTGTAAGCTCATGGCATTTATGAGTGGAAATGGAAAAGGAAGCCATTTCAAAGAGCCTGCTATGCCAAAGTGGATTATGTGAATGCAGTGCGCTCATTGCCTGGCATCCCCTATCTTGGCCAGAGTTGTACCACCCTGTGAGCTCTGAAATAGAAATATGACCAAGCYAAAGAAGTCGTCATGTAAAGATGTTCTCTTGTGTCTGACATACCCAGGAAAGTTTGAGGCAAGTACATTATATTAAAATTTAAGTGTAAAGTATTTCATGTTATCAATAGAGATACACAAGTATGCTGGATTAGTTTGAAAATGTGTGTTTTTATATGACAAAACTCGAATAAATCCATTAAATCCTAAAAAGATTAATTCAATGATAACAGTTATAGAAAAGCTACTGTTCAAACATTCTTAACAAGTGACTCCAGCTGCTCATTCCTGGATTTTTGGTAATTTGTTCCAGTATTTCATGTGATTTAACTGTTCTTTGGAAATCTAAATTTCAAACATAGCAGTGATGCATTGTGTGCAATTTACAATTTCTAAGTTAAAATTTCCTAGAGTCCAACATTCACATTAAAAACTAAATTAAATCATTGTTTAAGAACACTAATGGTTAGCAGTATTACAACTCATCTTACTTTTGTTTAAAAAATGTAAGTATATTTCTACAAAGCTTTTTATCTGTTTTATTAAAAGGTAAAGAAGACATAGAATATACTTATTTAAACATAAATGTGTCATCTTGTAGGTGAAAAACATTAAGGCAAAAAAGAAACTCACTGTGTAATTTTGTTTGTGGTTAAATTGAGTGCATCTAAGTGCATCTGGGCAAGCCGTAGGCCAGGGAAGGTTAAAAATGCTCCAATCAGAGAACAGAGCAGGGCCAGAATCAGCTTGAAAGTGAGTTTAGATATGGGACCCCTGAGAAAAAGAAAAGGCATTAGAACAGACTAATTAAGGACAAATTAAAGTAAGCTTCGAACATAAGTACCAACAAAGGTGGACATTTTTCCACAAGAATAACCAACCAACATTATCTTGAATCCTAACTGAATATAAACACGTGCATATTCAGCTATATCAAGAACATAATTATTGTTGTTAAATAAGCATGACAAGCAGACAACAGTTTAAGACACAATTAAGTGACCACTTGGTGTGCTGAAAAGCCATTTCCATGAGAGAAAAAGGTCTGTAAAATTTCAGTGTCAAGCTGCATGCTTTACAACCCAGCAGGTGTTCAGCAGGTTATCAGCCAGGACATTTTTAATGCTGAGGTATGGAGACGCTGACTTGAACACCTGCAGGCTACAAATCTGCTGGAAGACGGACACAGGATGTGACTCTCTCAGAGTACGGTTTGTTACCATTTCTAAAAGCCTATTATTACTACAGTTAGTAACTTTACTATGCAAACTATTTTGCTTCAAAACATATTTATACATAAACCTGTTAAAAATGTGTTAGCCCGGTTGTGTGGATTAAAATAAAAAAATCATTCTAATTAAATTTAACATTTTCATTGTTTGACTGATCAGCACCATGGACAGTGAATGAGCCTAAAAATAATAATAATAATAACAATAATAATGGTTGAATGTGTCTTAATAAAAGGAAAGAGAGAATGTTTTTGAACTACATTTGTGGCCAGCCCTCATTTATATTTTCATGACTAATGTTTGAAACATCTCAACATTTTGTTGTCAAAAATCAATAGACTTTTTCCACATTGGTATAAACATTTTACAAATAGAACAAATTATATTTAAATAGAAAATTCTATGCACATTTTCCTCCCAGCCACTATTCCACCCATGTCAGACATCTGTCTTAATCATCAAACTTACTGTGACTCCAGGCCCTGATAGTCCAAAAATTGTTGAGCGCTGTCAGAAAAGTTGGCAAAACCTAAAAATAAAACGTTCAACAGTGACTCACTGCAGCCAGAAAAGTTTAAGGAGGTCATCTTTGTGTAAATGTGATTTGTGAGCACTGACCTGTTTCAAGACCAAACTCCAGGTAGTTTTCAGTGACAATAAGAATGGCCATGGCTTTGACAAAAAAAAAGAAAGCAAATGTAATACAGAGTGAGCGTTCTCCTCCTTCCTCCAGCTTGAAGTAGTGGGCCGTTAGGGAGAAAAGCGACTTACTGAAGGGACAGTGTTAAGGAAATAACTTAGAGGCAGCCTGAATGGACAACAAAATATTTGCAGAACGTTACTGTTTTCTCTTTAGAATTTCTACTTTGAACTAATCACAACAGAGATAAAGCTCTCAGATWCTGCAACATTAATTTATGTCATCTTAATCCCAATCAAGAATAAAGAATTATTATTATTTTTCCAAAATCAATTAACTGCAGTAAAGAAACAGGTGTACTACATAAACATCCCCTGGAAAAGCAAGAACCAGCACATACAGTAGCTTGAAGGTGAGCTATACTGTATATAAAAATGATAAAAAATGAGAGGTAAATACCAATAAATTCCAACACTTGAGATATCTCAGTGTTCCTTTGATATTAGCAAAAGGTTAACAGAGCAGTAGAGCTGATCTCCAGGGCAAGTGTGTTCAACATGCCATCAAAGCTGAAATGGGAAAACAGAAATCAAGCATTCCATTAACACATATATTGGACCAACATATTCCTCATCTTTATGGTCCCATTTTATCAGTTTCCCAGTCTGTCCTTTCCGTCAAGCAAATCAGTCAGTTGGGTCTGTGAAAATTGGACCTCCAATCTGCAACGCAGGCAGAAAATGACACCCCATTTGACCACGGTGAGCCAGGTCCAAGCATTAGAACTGGAAAGATTGATCCCTTTGGGCAGTGGCAAGGATAAAGTATGTTATTTAACCATCATTCAGCATTAAAAAAAAATAACAGATGGAAGATACTGTAAATGCAATGGTGAGATTGCCTCTCTCACCAGCACTGCTGCATACACGCAAACTGAAATTATTTGATCTCTGTTATAGACAAAAACAAATTAACCTTCTGCATATAAACCACAGAGCATGAAAGTGAGATATATGAATACACAGAAGGTTCAGCAGAAACTACCATTTGCACCAGCTTACATTGCATATGCAACGTCAGTGTTACAAATTTAAAAACAAGTTTACAAGAAAAAAATAGCAAACAAACAAAAAAATTAAATAAAAAACAGCACTGTTGGAAAAGAAAAAAAAACAACAGCAAAAAAAAAAATAAACTGCACCCAATATGTAAAGAGTGACCGAAGTAAGGATACATAACAAAGGCGAGCACAAGTAGGCACCAGACCACACTGATGTTCATCTCTCCAGAGGGCTGAGCCACACTGTAGTAAAGTTCTGTTATCAGATAGACRACACTCGCTGCTACTGTAAAATCTACGAGCCATTGGAACTCCGGGAAGTAATACAATGCTGAGGACAAACAAAACATAAATCAAAACAGTTAATTATAACGGATTCTAAATGGAACCTTGTGTACAAACTTCATAAAGTGTAAATACATGGTCATTTTCTTTATTAGTCGTATACCTAAAGTGTCGACTTCTGTGATGCATTTCGTCTCCAGCTGCAGGTCTATGTCCTTTGGAACAGTTAATGGCTTATTGTCTATGTGACCATTATACTTCCTAGAAATAGATGAAAAAAATCATCAATAAACAAAGAAGAAAACAAGTTCAAGGAGATTAAAAAAAACTGTTTTGATGCAACCACATTAGGTTAAAAATAAAGTTTTAAAATGCGTTAAAATGCATTTAAAAATGCCACTTTTAAACAATGTTGCTATACAATGTTGCTCCTGACCTAATGGTCACAAGTAATTACCCAGTGAGCAATGGATGTGTTAAGCCTAATTGTGTCGTTAATTTAGTTTTGAATTGACCTAGTTCTAAATATTAGAAATTAACTTTTTACAGTCAGTTACCGAACAAACTGAAAATAGCTTTTAACAGCACACCTCTTTAAAACTAGAAAGTACAACTATTCTTTTAAAAGATAAACACATTCAAGTAATTGGAATCTCAAGTAATTTATTATGGTTTAAGAGCTTCACTTGAAATCACAGCATCATTTGACCCAGTGAAGAGTTAGTAAGGGTGTACCAAAAGAATCGATTCACATCAGGATTGTGATTCTCATTTACAAAGATTCAGAATCTATTTTTTTCTGGGTGATCACTGATCTTGAAAAAGTCTGACCTGCCAATTTAGATTCTGGCCCATACAGACTTTTTAAATAACGGATACTGTCAAGTTATAAAGGTCACAATACACATCCAATGTTCTAAATAAAAACACTGAACATTACCCTTGAAACAATACAAACTTGTTTTAAATAGACGTTAGGTAGTACTCACAGCAGAGCAAAATGGGACAGTGGCTGATTTTCAGACCTTTGCAGAGCTGGATGAGAAGCCTATCTTTTTCACCCATCTTATCCAAGTATCAGCCGATCTCTGATCTCCCAAATTTAAGGAAATCAGTGGCCTCTAGTTTCTAATTATATACTCTACTTGATATTTTTATACCAAAATGGGCAATACTAACAGCAGGTGAAAAGAAAATTGATGTGTGCTAAAATCAGAATAACAATGCCCCTTTGAGATTTTTAGGCCCAGTGTGCCCTGGACACATTTCGTCTCAAAGACACCTGGCAGTAACAAAAAAGAGGATTATCTTTACCTCTGACAGAGAGAGTCAGTCGGTTTACAAAAGGAATAGAGTCGCAGGGCATGAGTTGAAAAGGACAGTGGTTCATCTTTTTCTTTAAGGAATTATCGAGCATGTGGTGCTGCAGAGATTTGACCTGCCTCATACAGGGTAAGAGTTACTATTTGAAACAGTAATGATTAGCTTCAGAGTATGACTCTTATTTAAATTCACATTAAAGAAGAAATACAAACAAATAGAATAAAATTGACCGGTTACGCACATTGTTCAACTTGCTTTTGTAACATTAAAAGTGACGAGCAACTTAAATTGCAAAGTTGTCTTACAGGAGAATCATCTTACAAAATAAAAGCTTGGAATACAACCACATTGAAAATATTCAGTTGTTTTGGTAGCTTTCACTTCAGAGTGGATTCAAGTCTTTTATATTTCCATTTCCTGAAATAGATAAAAAAAAGAGAAAAAAAAGAAGAACCGCTCCAAAACACAGGAGCAATTTTCTTAAATTCCACTTCTGAGATGCATTGCTTTGAACTCCAGTGGACAGGCCATGAAGAAACAAAACGAGTAGAAAAAAAAAAAAAAAAACAGACTCTCCTGTCTTCGCATTTCAAACAGCCACTAAGCACCAAACATAATTTCATTGATATGCCATGTTTTGTCATTGGTCCGTGTTAAATGTATGCCCCCCATATTTTTTCCCTTTGATGAATTTTGCGCCTTTATTCCTCCTCTGGGCCTTTGCAGTACCCACCCACCACTAAATAGCCTTACCTGTCTTTTTTCTTCTGTCCTTTTTGTTTCCCAGCCAAGTTCCTCAACTCATCTTCTGTAGGGTGCTGATACCACCGTAGACTGTGAACAAAAAAATTAACATGTTTATATAGACAAAATACATAACAAAAATTAAAAAAATCCCAGTACAAAATGAAGCTGAACATTGTTGACATAGAGGTAAAAGTCAAACTGAAGCTAAATTGAGCAATTTAATGTTTTATATAATGCAAATCTCCATCAAAAATCATCTCACAAAATGATAGGCCTCAATTAAAATTTGATTATGCAGCCCAATATATAATCTAATTAAACAAATCAATCCAAAATAGTATGGTTCGGATTCAAATCCAGTTATATGAAGACCACTTCAGTTTGGCAGCTCAAATGGTGTATTGCAGTAATAAATATGCTGTTGTTGTTTACATACTGCCAGAAACTGTGGATAGATTGATTGTGGTATTTGTCTGAGCTAAGGGACAGGCTGTTCACTCTACTGAGGCACTTATTAAAGAGTAACTTACCCCAAAACCAACTTTTTGTTGAATAAACTGTCTAAATTGTGCTTCAAGGGTAATAATGCCTTTCTATTTATGACTAAAACAGTTTCATCTAAAATTGTTTAAATCTAAAATATTTGGTCTAAAAACATCTTTGTGCTGCTCTCTTCGGATTTAATTATGAATACTACATTTGAATTTTGCTATTCGTTCAAACTGTGCTGTGTGACGTTACTTGTGCCGTGTGACGTCACAGCACCAAGTGTTCGAGTATAAAAGCATCTTGGTCAGAGAGATGCCCATGCAGAGGTTAAGGAGTGGGAATAGTGATAGCATTGATGTAGGGATGGGTACCGAATTCGATACTTTTATATACTTTTATAAGTACCGACCGAATTCTGTCGGTACCTAAACACATCATTGCAACTGTATTGTCTGGGGCGGCTGTGGCAGAGTGGTTAGGGGAGTCGTCCTGGAACCGGAAGGTCACTGGCTCCATCCCCCGTTCCAGCTGTCTCAGTTGTTGTGTCCTTGGGCAAGATACTTACGTATTTATTCTTATATAGTACGATATCATGTATAATATGAACACAAACACCGGTAGATGGCAGCCATTACAGACGAACATGTGTTTGTTGTTGTTTGGGGAGCGGCTCGGTCACACGCCAATGTCATTAGTTCGTTATCATTACTAAGGTGCAGGACTGCCACCCCACCCCCCCCCACTCTCCCTTCTTTCACATCATGTCACCTGCTTGGATCTGTTACTATCTCGCTCTGAAGCACGGAGGAGTGCCAGAGGTAAGCTAATTTCAACTGCTTTTTATGACACGGTCTCATTTCCGGACTGAATGAAGCCGATATTTCAGTTAAAATACACAAGTAAAAATACTTATCCGAGTATAATACTACCCCCCAACTTTATAGATGATTTAATGGATTTAATTTTATGTATTATACTTGAATAAATACGGTAACCCCAATGCCTCTGATGCATGTCCCATCAGTGTATGAATGTGATTGGCACTGATTAGTCTCCATAGTTGATTGTACATTTTAGCTTTGTAGGAGATCTGGTAGAGTGCTGTGTGAATGGGTAAATGAGGACACAGACAGTAGGGTGAAGCGCTTTGAGTATCCTGGTTGCGTACAAAGGCACTATACAAGTACAGTCCATTTACCATTTACGTATTGGCGTAAGAGTGGGGGATTTTCAATGCTTGTCTTGAATGCAGCATCACGCAAGAGCGTAATGACGTCAGCAGTCGCTGGTTCAGTAGAGTTCGGCGTAGCTTGAAAGCGAGCCTCGCAGCTCGCAGCTCCTGGAGTGAAACTCACTGAACAGATCGCCTCTGAATTATCTGGTGGATTAATTATCTTGTGAGCACAACGTTCGCTTCCTCAAAGTAAATAAAGTACAGCCACTTTCTTTATTTCATCCGCCATTAAACAGAGACAGGCAGAGGAGAACAACAGAGGTGCTTCCCGACAGTCCGAACGCGTCTGACCTGAAAGAGCACAACCAGCCAACTTGAAGCGTTGGGAGCGTTTTGGTTCTGAACGTAGCTTGAATACTTTTTATTTATTTAACTCCATCCTCTTTTGCTTATTTAATTTAAACTTATTTGTCTTCCATGGACCCCATCACACAATTTTTCTAGCGGGGGAAATTACATCAATAGAAATATGTGGAGCTGGATTTTAATTTGTGCAATAAGACAAAACAGTCTTGTTGTTTTCAAGAGTTTTCACTTTAAAGAAATTAGTTAAACAACTGATGTTACAATACAAAGAGTTGGATGTTGTCTTGATATTTGTTAAATAATATATATTGAGATATATGTTAAAAAAAGTTTCTTATTAAAAAAACAAACACAAACAAAGTACCAAAAATTGGTACCGTTAAGTACCGGTACCAATTCCCAGGTACCGGATATTGGTCCCGAATCCATTCAAATGTCAAAGGTACCCATCCCTACAATGATGATGATAGCAGTAATTACTCTGTGTGTAAACAGAGAACCCACAGCTCGAGGCATGGACATCTGACTATCAGCCATAAAACAACCTGAATTAACTTACTTAGAGACCCTTATTGTGGTTCAATACTTTTTTAAACAAACTACAAAGTTGCTGTACGTCACAGTATTTAGATCAGGCCAAAATACACACGGCTCCACAGTCCAGTGACATATACTATTATTATTAGTACTATTTAGCTCACTACCACAGCCTTACCCTGTTCAAGAAAGAATGAAAGCTATAAAGGTGAAGAGCAACCCCCACTGGAGCAGGCAGCGGGAGGAGGAAAAACTTAACACGAGGTGGTGATGGAAAAAAGAYGTGGATGTCAGCTGCATGTTCACGATCAGCTCTTCAAGCTGCTCCTGCTAATTTATCGAGCAGCTTCTGCTGCTGGAGGTTGCTCCAATACATCCATAGGTGAGGGTCCCCAAGACAGCTAAAAAAGGCTGAAGTCTGTGTGAAATTAGGAACAGCATTATAGCTGCGAGGATTAAATTAAAACGGGGATCACATTAAACGGTAATTAAAATATGTCCGGTTGGATTGGATCGCCGGTCACTTTTTCGTCCTGATCTAAAYTACGTGACACGGCAAGTTTATGGTTTGTTTAAAAAAAATATTGAACCACAAAAAGGATCTCTAAGTAAGTTAATTCAGTGTGTTTTATGACTAATATGAGGCTCTATAGGAGAACCGGAGGCTTTGTTAACACAGAACCTCCACAGTGCAGGGTTTTTCACGTCAGGCTGCCTGACCACCTCTGCTGCCCGAGGTGGTGTGATGCTGTCCAGGGCTGGTGGGACAGACGGAGCCCAGCCGAGGCTGCGGTCGTGAGTCTCATGTCCTGAAATATTCGGGGGGACAGAACACTTGTCAGTTCGGGACTGAGTTGTCTTGGGAATTTTAAATGAAACATTGAACCAAATGCAAATGGAAAAAAATACATATATTTTTGTTCTGTTTTGGACCAAAATCACTTTTTACCAGTATGTTGCCTGAACTTACATGCTAGTTTKTAACAGCTAAATGTGAGATTGCATGTAAGTCATAAAATGTAACTTTTTACAAAATACTTTAATTTCTTTAGAACTAGTGCTGTACCAAACGATTATTTTCTAATCGATTAATCTAACGATTATTTTTTCGATTAATCTATTATTCTAACAACAAATCTAAAAGTTATTCTGATGTGAGTGCACTGGATATTTAAAATGGTTTCATCAAATTAACAAGAGCAGTTCTTTAATATTGTAATATTTTCTGTAATAGTTTTTTCATGGACACAAAATATGCACTCTAGAGTCAATTCTTTAACAAAAAAAGCTTAAAAGATTTAACATCAACATAAAATCTCAACCAAAGCATAAAAATTCAACTAAAAGAAATATAGTGCAAGATCAATCAAAACAACATCCAACTCTATGTATTGAAACGTCAGTTGTGTAACTTATTTCTTYAAGGTGAAAACTGTTGAAAACAACAAGACTGTTTTGTCTTATCGCACAAATTAAAATCCAGCTCCACATATTTCTATTGATGTTATTTCCCCACTAGAAAAATGTGTGATGGAGGTCCATGGAAGGCAAATAAGTTTAAATCAAATAAACAAAAGAGGATGCAGTTAAAATTAATAAAAGGTATTTAAGCTACATTTTGAACATCCAAAACACGTCCATCACTTGTTGGCTGCTTGTGCTCTTTAGGTCAGACGTGTGTCGGGAAGCACCTCTGTTGTTTGAGACGCTGGGGGAACCGTCCGATTGGGGAACGTGGCTCGACCTAACACCGGTCTCTGTTTAATGGTGGATGAAATAAAGAAAGTGGCGGTACTTTATTTACTTTGAGCGAGCGAACGTCATGTTCACAAGATAATTAATCCACCAGATAATTCAGAGGCAGTCTGTTCGGTAAATTTTACTCCAAGAGCTGCGAGGCTTGTTTTCAAGCTTCAGACTGAACTGAAGCAGCGGCTGCTGACGTCATTACGCTCTTGCACGATGCTGCATTCAGGACAAGCATGGAAAACTCACCACTCTTATGCAAATACGGTCGCAATGATGCTTTTAGGTACCAAAATGGAATTGCATGAACATTCATGTGGTGGTTATGTAATACTGTACAGCAAATCGATAAAAAAAAAATCTGCGTCGACAAATTTACATAATCGACATCATCGATTATTTCAACTAATCGGTGCAGCCGTATTTAGAACATTAAAGTATGTTTTCAGAAATGTTAGCTTGTCAATTTAAGCTAGTCGTCACGTTCCCTTGTTGTGGCCACACCTCCTCACTCATCCCCACACTTYAGGCCGTGCCCCTCAGTGTCTTTTGGCACTGCCCACTTTGTTGGCATTTTTTCAAATTTGCCTTGGGGCGGGGTTATGCTATCAAAAGCGGGGGGTTAGTTACACTTTAAATTGCACAACACTTTACACTGAAATTGACAGCCAAGTCTCAAACTAAGGGATTTACCCTTACCTGCCACTGCACAATAGCCATCTTGCAAAGGAATAATGAGGTAAAATTTTCTGGATTACACTGGCCATTACCATGGTAACTGCCAGCTGCACACCAATCACACCCTGTGGAGGGAAAAGTATATATAAATGCTCCCACAAACAAGATATAGCACATATTCTAGGGATGCATGATATATCGGCATTAACATCGGTATCGGCCGATATTGGTGATTTTTTTAGAATATCGTATCGGTCCAATATGTAAAACTGGGCCGATATTAATGTCCGATATTGATTTCCCACATTTTAGCTTTGTGTTTTTGTTTTGGGAGGGGAGATGGTTGGTCGAGTGGTATTTGTTTGATCATGATAATGATGTTGACACTGCACAGCCAGGAATAACTGAAGTAGAGAGCCATGTCAGACGTCTGGTCATTTATTTACAGTATCAAAAAAGACCCAAGTGTGTTTGTGCATATACTGTATGTATATAAACAATTTGTGTGTTTGTGTAATATCGGTAAATATCGGTTATCAGCCATAACAGCAATAATTATATCGGATATCGATATCGGCTGAAATTTTCCTATCGGTGCATCCTTAACATATTCCATGTACAAATACTCAAGTTTTGAATGAAACTTCCAGAGTTGCATAATTCAAAATATGATTAGYCTAGAAACAAGAAAAATTAAATTACAGTAACACTCTTAGGTTCAAATATATTTTTTTTATTATCACAAATTAACTTTGTGTGGAGTAAAAAAGTGACTTTCTGCATTTCTAAAGATTTTTTTTTCAAAATCCACATTCATGACAGCCATCTAATCCCTTTAAAATTGATTGCAACATATGGAAGTGTTACATCATGTCATACATTTTTTCTTCAGAATATACAAACTACTGAAAGTCTAAGACAAGTCAATTATTTAAAATGATGTGGTGCCTTGGTAGAGGGTTCATGGGGTCAAAAGTGTATCATTGAGTATGATGAAAAAAGCTTTCCATGATCTACAATGAATACTGTGTTTTGATACTGCCTTTTCATAAATGCATCTGCTGCAATCTCACTGAGTCAGTGAAGTCCAACGAGCAGAAAAGAGCATAAAACAAAAGAACTTATCAGCAAACATAATGTATCATTCTGCTATTTTCCTGACTTCTCAAGAGCTGGCATTCAAAACAGTGGTGAAGCTTAGAGGCTAGAAGATAATATGATGAAATAGTGTTGGTCAACTATTATCTATGCCATGTGGAGAGTGAAACTTAGGGGCAAGTGAATATTATTCTATATTTCTACAAGGAAAATAGTAGGCAGTTATTAAGATATGCTGCTGCTGGTTTGTTTTTAAAAGACAGAGAATAGCTAAATCTTATAATGTTATCTTCAGTTACAGATGGATTTTATCCAGGTGAAAGACACATTTAAAACGGAAGTGGATTTTAATAAAATAATGTATATTGTTTGCTGCCTTTCATGGCAAAGTTTTAGACAAAGATCTTGCATGATCTATTAGAATTAATAGTTTGTGTTGTGTGTTGTATGTTATATTAGCTAAAACCACACCAATATTCATCTCAGTACGTGTAAAACTGACTGATTTGAATAGCCATTTTTGAGTTTGAAAAGACTGATTAGTTGTGGCAGCCATCAATAATCAGGCTGACTTCAAAAGTTCATCAGTTGTAGATTTAGACCTAGTCCTTAGTTTCATTCAAATCTATCCAGTGGTCATGCCATATTTTGCCAACAGACATATCATATAGATAAACACGCTCACACACAAACACATAACTGCCTACTTTCCATGGAAACATGTAATAGTAATGTATCTACTGTAAATAAAACACATTGGCTAATCTAAAAGTTCAGCTGATTGAGTCATATTCTGATGATGACAGTGGTGAGTACTGATAATAGGAGGTAAACTAGATCTATAAACATCCAACAAAGACAATCTAAAAATAAGTTTCCCCATATTTATCTGGACTCATACCATATAATGTTAATAACAGTTTATTTTAGAAAATCAGAGTAAAATCTTTTTTTTGCCACCACTACCTCACAACAATTAAACATATTCAATGGTAACTGCTGCAGATTAAGTAAAGAATTTATTGTCACAAAGATTTGCATCAAATAATATTGTCTGTAACAGTTTAAGCCAAGTCTCTGACAGAGACTTAGCTTAAACTGTTACAGACCCTCTCTGTAGACATAAGTTTGACAAGGCTCTTGTGGCTGTTACCAAAAGATATAATATAACAAGAGTTCAATTTGAAGCTAGAACAGTCTGATCAATATTCACTTAGGCTTAAGAGGCCTGAATCATTCCTATCAAGCTGTGCTTTTATCCACTCACTATCGACTCATATCCACTGGATGGCTTTTATCTAGCAATCAGTAGGAATCATTTATATCGTATCCAGCAGTAACAAGCACTGAGCTATTGCTAGTGAAACCACACACACACACACACAAACACACACACACACA